AAAGTGTGAATGTTCGCGGGGGCTAGGTCTTTGAATTTTGAAACCTGAAAACGCGACAAGGCATCAGCTAGATGTTTGTACACACCTGGGATATGTTTGGCACGGAACAAAATTTTAAATTTTAAGCAAGCTAGCACCAGGCGACGAACAAATATCATCACTGTCGGGTCCCGAGAGGTAGATCTATTTAAAATTTCGACCAATGCTGCGTTGTCTGTGTGAAATAGTACGCGTTGATCACGCAAAGGTGACCCCATAGCAATACGCTTAGAACGATTGGGTAAAATTCCAAAATAAAATGTTTAATTTTTCCAGTGCTCAGGCCAGGCCTTGTAACACCAAAATTTACCGAAAATGGCTCCAAAGCCAAAGCTTGCAGAAGCGTCTGTGTACAAATTCAAAACATTAGATGGAAGCCAATAGTCGGAAAGAAAAAAATGACCGACCGTTAAAATCATCGATAAAAGATTTCCAAAGACTCAAATCTGCTTTTACAGACCTTGTCAAACGAATGTAGTAATGATTTACCCTAACTACCTTGGTGATGTCAATCAGCCGACGAAGAAATGCTCTGCCTGGTAAGACGACCATGCATGCAAAGTTCAACAAGCCAATCAACGACTGGATTTCTTTTAACGTGGCCTTTTTCCTCTTGAGAAATTCTCCGAGAAGCGTGCCTGTTTTGAGGATTTTGTCCTCTAGTAGACGGGCTTCCATAGCATGCGTATTGAGCTCAATGCCAGCAAAAGTGAGGATATTTACAGGACCAAACGTTTTTTCTGGAGCTATTGGTACACCGACATGAGCACAAAGAGATGTAAACTTTTGTAATGCAACGCAACACTGGTCGGATGAAGGGGCAGCAAGGAGATAATCATCAAGAATATGAATAATATGTTCAATGCTCAAATGGGTTTTAGCGATCCATTCTAGTGCAGTGCTAAACATTTCAAAAGTGCGGCAGGACGATGCGCAACCCATAGGCATTGCCCGACCAAAATAGTAGTTACCCTGCCAAAACATTCCCAGAAGGGGGTAATCCTGTTGACGTATGGGAATGATGTGAAATTATTGTTTTTTGAACATTTTTCAAAGTCAAGGAAAGCATGAAAAAAGAACATAGATATCATTTTCATAATGAAAAAATAACATGTTTTTCTCATTAAAACTTTCACTTTGCGAAGATATTTTACTATTTGTTTTCCTGTGGCACATTTTGCATTTATCTACCAAGAGCCCATTTCCAACGCGAAATTAAAAGTGACCGTTTTCGTTCATTCGTCATGGAGAAAAAGTTTTTTGCGAGATTTTAGAGTTGATTTCACAGTATTTACACCTTGTAAATTGTCAAGTTTCTTAGAGCAAAGTCCATTATGACTGGATGGTAAATAATTTGCACAGCGAATATTTAACTTTCAACAACTTTAGCGGTAGTCATTTTACTTTGAATTTTCTGTTGAAGTAAAACACACGAATTTAAACATGTTAAAGTTTCTTTAATTGACGTCATAACTAAAATTATTATTGTGATTGGCTCCTTAGGAGCATGTCAACTTTTACAAAGACAACAAGTAATCCTTCAATGCGTTTTTAAGGCCTGTTTCAAACATTGCATTCTACACACGCCCAATGCATTGGAAAGAAAAGATAATGAGATAAAATTCCTTATTATCTTTTGTCTTTAATACATTCGGCTCGTGTAAAATGTAATGTTTGAAACAGGCCATAAAACGCATTAAAGGATTACTTGTTGTCTTTGTGAAAGGTGACATGCTCCTAAGGAGCAATCACAATAATAATTTTAGTTATGACGTCAATTAAAGAAACGTTAACATGTTTAAATTCGTGTTTTACTTCAACAGAAAATTACTCACTTTGACGTTGTAGGAAGAAAGGTAAATTCTGTCTTTTTACTGACGAGTACTGAAGTATGAGTTACATTGAATAATGAACTCCTCGTAATTTGAGAGCTTTCACGGTAAAATGCTTTCATCGCGATTATAAGTCTTTGATCGTGTGAAACTTGTTACATCGTTCAAACTCAACTCACTAAAGCTATTCGTGCAATGAAGGTGAATGTTCTACCGTTTAAATAGTCAAACACAAAACATATAACAATTTGCTCATTCTCAATATATCTGATTAAAAATTTAAAACGCAAACTAACGTCATATGCAAAGTTATTAATCATGAAATCTCATACATGTCTTTCTTATTTTCTTATATTGTAGATCCCACAAGAGTGGAGTTGCGAAAGCCCCTTTACCACCTTTGTCATTCACTTCAATTACTCTTACTAGTTTCTCATTACTCATGTGTCATGGTGATTCATGGCCAAGAATGTTCATTTGTAGTTTGGATTCTTTGTTGATGTCAGTTGTTTGTTCATATAATGATGATGGGCCCCATTGTTATATGAACCCACCTAAAGGTGGTCAACCGATACTCACAGAAGATCAACTCTGCACTAAGCATTCTTTGAGTAATGATACAACTAGGGTATTGAAGGGCGGTCCCTTTTCCTTCGCTTGAAGTTACCATAACAGTGCATTGTGAATTGTAGTATATCGAAGGGGCGATTCATCGTATCAGTAGCTTCTGTATTGGTTGATGATGCTCCTTACTTTGTGTATGGATTGGTATCGACATGATGAATGGACATCGCATAACAGCATATGTACGTATGAACATTTACATTGAAGGGATTGCACTATAAAAATGGACTACATTCTACGAAGATGGAAAAGAAGCGAATGGAAAAACACGATCTATATCTTGTGGTTTGTAAGTTGAGTAGATATAAGTGCTAAAATTAACTTGTGTGAGTAACTGCATGAGATAGTTAAAAAGAACCTGATGGTCTATTTTTATAATTTGAAACTTAACCATGAAAAACACCCAGCTTAAAAAGTGTCAATAAAAGATGTCACTTGCTGTGAGAAAATAGCTGGCTTTCACTCGCTACTTTTTACTAATTTTATTTAACGTTCATTAAGAAAATTGCAATGATGCAAATAGCGTTCATTGAATTACTAAGATAAAAATTTTACAATTAATTTCAACGATACAACGTAAAAACTATGCGGTGAAAAAAAAGGAAGAGACCGACCAAGTCGCCTGGATCAGACTAACCAGGACAACCCTTGGAAATCAGGTATTAAAGTTTTGTTCTTTTCAATATAATTAATTTCTGTTTTTGTTCCTTCATTATGCTGACATTTATAACGTGTTTTTTATAGAGTAGCTATGTCTGTAGGCCTTCTAACTGGACAATGAATGAACGACGAAGTCGGGCAGACACACCAAGAAACAAGCGTCGTTATTATAAAATGCACACTTGCTAATTTATTTATCCATAATGTCTATCAGTATAATGCATTTTCAAATTCGAGCGTTAAAAATTTCCGTATAACTAAATGTTCAAAATTGTTAAGTTTTCTGATAAAACACACGAGTGAAAGCCAGCTATTAATTAATGAGGCAACATAGAAAATTTTAAGGGAATAAAGTCTAGCAGACATCAAAATTTATTTTTGTGCAAGTCAAAACGTCTCTTTAGTCATTTCATTTTTAATTGTTATGGACAGGTGAATGGTCAGGTTCCTACGTACTGAATAATTTTTATACATGATTTATATATGGCTGCTATTAGTTTTCGTTTTTCGTCTATTGATTACAATTTTTGTTAACACTCTGCACTATTTCATTTTTTGTGCTCTACAAAAGTTTGCGTTTCTTATGTACGAATAATATTTGCTTTGTCAATAGAGTAGTCAACCCACATTTTTATTGCTCCGTAAATTTAAATTTTTTCTACGACTGTATAAGACGCACGATCTGACTACGCTGCATGTTAAAGTAGATCATCAGGATCATTGAAAACAACAAAAGTATAAAACATCATAAAAAACTACAAAAATTTGAAGCAATTCTTCTAAATTTTCTATTTTTTCTTTTATTGGAGGGTTTTTTACCGGATCCGCCGGTTTTCCCTCCCATTTCGTTTTGTTTTGGAAAAAAAACAGTGTCCACATTTGGGGCCAAGTGAAGACATTTGTCATAACATTATTTATCGTAGTTATCATGAATATTCACGTTTCTTTTCATTTCTTGGCTTTTGGGTACATCTCCCAAAACACTGCGTTTATTAAATACAATGGCATACATTTAAAAAAATTGGCACGCAATTCATACATGTTGGTAGCCTGCAATTATTTAGCTACTGAATGAAGTAGATTAATTAACATAGTCAAAATAAAATTATATATTTAATATTATTTTACGTCAAACTTTCTTAAGATTTGAAAATGCATTTATAGTTTTATGATCAAGTAATTTTCTAACCCTGGAATCCAATGTTCTACACAGTAAAAATAGATTGGTCAAAATGACCAAAAAAAATTGGTCATTTGAATGCACCTGAGAAGAACAATTTTTATAGGTCAAAACAACCAATTCCTAAATTGGTCAAAAATACCAAAAACAAAAATGGTTAAAATTAAAAATTTACTTGACCAATTTTATTTGGTTGTTTTTACCATTAAATAAGCATTTTTTTTCAGGTGCATATCCATGACCATTTGACCAATATAGAGGATCTTTTTAACTAAGCTAAAGAAAATCATTCACACAATTATAAATAGCACATTTTTTGCAAACACAGAATACTTAAAATCTCTACTACATGCCATTAATTAACACTACAAAAGTTTTCTACTTCCTAGAAGAAATAAAATGATCGACAAAAGTTGGCAATTGAGCGTTAAAATTGCATTTTGAATTTGAAAGCAAATGTTCTAAAAGAATAAATACATTTTGCAATGTCCATTAATGCCTTTAGGATACTCGCATTAAAAGTATAAAAGAACTAAGTAAAATAATAACTGCATTGTCAATATTTTCCGTTTTCAGCTTTGCCACAGTCATCCCCAGCCACCAACATTATTGAATGAATGTTTCTTAATGTTCCTGTTGATAGGAGTCTAGGAGATGAACTTTTATTAATGATCTCTTGAACTTCCCCCAAGCTTTTACCCTTCAACAGCGATAAAATTATTTATCAATTTTTTCACACATTTATGCAGAAAATATTATTTGTGACAATATCAACTCTTACATCAACAATGTCCCAAAATAGCTTTTTGTTCATATCTCGATGGGTGCATTGGTCATCTAACACATAAGGCAAACATGCCATTATACACCGGTTCTTGACCTCTAAAATAATCAACATAGCATAGAATGAATATATTACCATTATCACTCTCTAAAGCATTAACACTTCAGTATAAATAAGGATTTTAACTTATTGATTTTTACACCAACCTTTCTCATCTTCAACTGGACAATCCTCCAGCTCTTCAAGGATACTGCTGATATTCTTTTGCTTTGTCTTTTCACATTAGCTGTCAAGGGACTCTTTGGAGCATTGTCCTTGAGATGTTTCTCTGGTCGAATGTTCTTAAAAAATAGTAAAATTCAACCTTAACATACAACATAAAGAAGTAAAGAAATAACGCAGCAAAATATTTATGAACTACATACATTGTATATTTATGAACTACATACATTGTATATTTATGATCTAGCATTAGAACAAATATTGTATACAAATAATGGCTTCAGCCTTTATACCTCATCATTTTGATGATCAGCTGAAGTACTAAGAACAATGTCTTCATTTACATCCAAGTTGATGGTTCTTATGTGGCTTGAATAGATGTGCGAGTGCACTGTTGAAGCTGATTCTGAAAAGCCCTGTTAATGGAGGATTGAATCATAAATTCTACTTATGGTGACTCTTCATCAAACATAATACAACATAACTAAAGCATAGACGAACAAAACATTGTATAGTAAGCAGACTAAATGTTTTTTAAGCTATTTCATGCAAAATGGGAGCAATGGTTCATCTGGATCCACACAATTACAAGACAAAACAAGTCAAGCTGTGTTGCTTGATACCTCATCATGATTTTCTTGATGATCAGCAGAATTACTCGGAATGTCTGGATTCACATCCTTGTTGATGGTTCTTATGTTGTTGGAAGTGACACAAGAGTGTGTTGTTGAAGCTGATGACCCTGTTAATAGATGAAGCCTGAAATTTTACTTCTGCTCATTTTATAACGACACAATCAAAGCACATGGCAGTAAAAAATATAATCAACAAACCAATAACAAACCAAGTATTTTGAACCATTTTATGTAGAAAACCTGTAAGGCTTCAATTTACCTTTTGAGTAACGTCATTCCAAATACACGTAAACTTCTTGTGAAGTTTTATTCGAGGAATCATCTGATAAATATCATTTGGTTCTAAATTGAAAAATCCTCGCCGTCGACTTGATTAGCTTTAAAATATAAGAAGCAAAACGTCAATGAAATTACGTTATTGCTGTTGGTATTCTCTAAAAGCGCTCGACAAAATCTGCCTGCTAGCAAAACGTAAACAAGGCAAGTCATCTATAAATCTAATTTTGAATTATTTTCTACACTAGATTTATGCACGAGACAACAACCCTCACACATGCGACCTACATTTCAGGATGAGACAATACCTTTAAAATCTTCGACAATTTCATCCAATTTGTTGTTTTTCAAAAAAAGAATAATGCCAGCGACGGATGATTGTTTGTTGATTTCCATTTTGCCCACAATACAAGAGTTTCAACGCTTAAATGCACTTCAACAAAGCACAAGAAGTTTAGAAACACGCCACGCGACTACATACATCGGCAACAAGCAGTCAGGCACGTGCCGCTTTGCGTAGTGGGATGTCAAGTGGCCAAATCGATTTTACTCATTCACTCATTCATTGCTCTAACAAACGGTAACGGTGTTGTCACTTGACTAGTGACGCGAGAATATTCGTAAAAGTTCAATTAATTATGCCACGATTGTGTTGTCAGGTATGTGCAACGTTTTTTCAACGTCTGTCGCTGGAATGTTGCATCATTTGGTCGCTGTTCATAAACACGATGCCAGATTGCATATTTCTGCGAAGTGCCGGAATGTAATTCAACCTTCGCTAAGGTAAGCTTTTGATTCTTGATACGACACTGATTTGTTTGTTATTTATTAAAAATATTTACTTATTCAGTGCGTTCACGGATTTGTTGTTTAGTTTAACTCTTACAAAAGTCATCTTAGAAGAAAGCACGCCAATGTTGACTTAAACTCACGTGATCTATGTTGCGTTGAATCAGCGAGTAGCACTCAAACCAATTTTTGTCCTGATGAGGATCGACTTGAACTCTTAATTGATGAATTCAACAGGGAAAATGAACTTGATGACTCTGTTCAAGCAATGGAACACAAAAAGGCCCAATTTCTTCTAAAAACAAAAGAAATCAATCTGCTCACACAAAAATGTGTGGATAACATTGTAGAAGAATCCACTGAACTTGTCCAAGGAACAGTCAAAGCAATTAAACACCGTTTGCAAAATTGCTTAGAGAAAGCTGGATTAAATTATAATGATGTGCCAGGTCTTGATGAATTATTTGATGAAGGACATGCTATCTCAAATCCATTCAAACATATTTCCACAAAGTATAAACAGAATGCTTATTTTGAGGAGCATTTTGGCTTAGTTGTAAGTTTTATTTCTATGTTTTTTGACTGTTTTTAGAATGTTAAGAGTTTTGAATAAAGTTTTTAAGATTTTTAACAGATTTGAGCCAGCTGCTCTTTAGTGCTTGTTATGCATAATCATTATTTTAATTGTAGCAACTCAGACGAATTAAACTTGGACACAGATTGTGAAAAGACTTTCAAGGACTGTGTACAAAGAGGTTATTAAAGATGATGAAATCATGTACATACCACTGCTTAAATCCTTGGAAAAAGTGCTCAATGTAAAAGGAGTACTTGAACAGGTCAGATTGTTAATAGCATGGTTGTGTTTTTTTTTTGTTGGCAAGTTTATCAAACTATGACAACTACATCTTTGCAAGTACCCATATCAATAACAGGGTTGCAAAATATTAATACATGTTCTATGTATAACCATAAAAGGAACTTTATGTGTGTTTTACTGTGTTAGTTTCCATAAAAGCAAAAACAATGGTGACATGCGTTTATTAGAGCACATTTCCAAAAATATATTCCAATTATTTCATGAAAATATGAAAATAGCCTGATTTTAATTTGAAAAGTCTGATGGTAGGAAGGCACCCATCCTACCACCAGACATTTCCATTGCTGGTTAATAATAAATTTAATTTATTAATAAATTTAATATTTTCATTCTTCGATTTCAATTTCAGCTAAACCATGGTCATCTTCGGCAACATAAACATGATGATGTGATTGAGGATGTTTGCGATGGCCAGTATTTTAAAACCCATCAACTGTTTTCCAAGGACTCAACTGCTTTACAAATCATGCTTTACTATGATGAGTTGGAAATTGCAAATGCCCTTGGTAGTAAAACTGGAAATCATAAGTTAGGTAATAATTTAATGACATCATAGTGACTAAATCAGTCACTCAAATGTAAAAAAGTGGATGAGCAATGAAAGGCTATAAGAAGCTCTTATTACATCATATGCCATTATTTCTATATGACAGGAGTTGTTTACTACACAACTGGAAATATTGATCCTCGATATCGATCCAAGCGTGATAACATTCACCTACTCCTTATGGCAACAGTTCTAATTATCAAAAAATATGGCATTGACATTCTCTTTGAGCCTTTCATGAATGACCTTGAATACCTTGAACAAGTAAGGATCCTATTTATTGTTTTTTAGCTTATTACCTGTTATTGATAATTGTGCAGAAAAAGTAGTTTGATAAAAATTGCTTAAAATTAACTGTCACACTTCTTTTTTGAGGATGGTGGTCACCAGTTCATTGTTAAAGGTGAACCTATGTCATTTTCTGGGACTATTGTGTTGGTTTCTGGAGACAATCTTGGATCACAACTCATGGGTGGATTCAAAGAAAGTCCAGGTGCACATTTGAAATGCCAGCAATGCATGGGAACCACTGAACAAATAAAGCAGAAAGTATGTATGTTTATTATAATACATTATTAACCTGTTTCAACATAGATAAAATGTAGATTGAAGAAATTGAAGAAAACCCAGAACTGAGTAAAGCATATGGGCTTTGCAGGAGATCAGTTCTTCGCAACTCTAGGTATTTTCATCTAGCAGATGGCATGCCAGGTGATGCAATGCATGATATACTAGAAGGAGTACTTCAGTATGTATGTAAAGAATTGCTGAAGGACTTTATATTTAAAGAAAAATTTTTAACAGTGGAGCAACTTAATGAAAGAATTAACTCTTTTGATTATGGATATTTTAATGATAAAAACAAGCCATCACCAATCACGCGGACAACTTTGAGGAGTGAAAACAATAGTTTAAAGCAAAAAGGTAGGGTGTAGTGATTGTCACAAGAATTAATACCATCACCCTTGATTTAAATGATTGGTTTTTCTTTTTATAGCAAGACAAATGTGGTGCCTTGGAAAATTCCTTCCTTTAGCTCTCGGCATTGCCATTCCTCAGGATGAAGAAAAGTGGATGCATTTTCTGTTGCTCCTTAAAATTGTTGACATTGTTTTTTTCACCAATCAAAAGCACTGATGAACTTGCTATCCTGGAAAGAGACCTGAAGAAATTTTTGTGGAAATTCACCCAGCTTTATCCTGGGCTTTCAGTTATACCCAAGATGCATTACTTGGTTCATTACCCAACTCATTTACAGGTATGATTTTGCTAGTTTGTATCTTAGTTTATAAATAAAAATATGGTATGTAACTCAAAATGCATGTAAAAATTTCATCATTGGTTTCCCTCTATCTAACATAAGTCCTTGATTTTTTCAGATTTGGACCAATGATTCGGAACTGGTGCATGCAATATGAAGCAAAGCACAGTTACTTTAAAAGATTGGCTTCATACTTTGGAAACTTCACTAATGTTGCACTTAGCCTTGTTGAACGACATCAAACCAGAAGTTGCTATCTAAGAAATCAATCCATTGCAAAAAAGCCTAAAATTGGTAGGATTTTTTTGAATTGATTGATTTTAATTCTAAAAACAAAGAGATCAATTTTTAGTAACCTCTCTAGTAAGATAACAAATTGATGTTTGTTTGTTTCTCTTTAGATTCTGCAAAAGAAATTGTTGCTAAGGATAGTGAACATTATTATTTGCTCAAAGAGAGGAACTAAACTTAAGTGACATTAGTATTTTGTCAAGGTAAAGTACACATAGTGATTATTTTTATTACAGAAGATGGTGACTATTGCGAGAAAAAATTGCTAGTACTTTATAAAATGAAACCATGGCTGTAATCTGACTCTTAGACAATTTTAAATCCAACCCAGATCCATTATGCGCTTAATTTGCGTCTTAGTAAGCATAAGCATGTCAGGGCCGTCAAGTGCTTTTTTGGTAAGTCGTATAGTCAGTGCGGTTCCTTCTCTGACTGCCTTTGCCAGGTTATTTTTCTGAGCCGTTGAAAGTGTAACGCCGTGAACTGTGTAGTTATTACGTCCACCACCTTTAGCAGCTGCACCACCTTTCCTAACTACACCACTACCAGCAACTGCTTTTTGCGTGCTGCCGGTGATAGCACGTGATATAGCTGCTAGGCCTAGAGACGGTAACAGTTTTGGTATGAGTTTAGTGACCGTAGGTATGAGTTTTCCAATAAGATTTCCAATAAAGCTATCACCTTCTATACTTCTTGACCCAGGAAGATAAATACCAGCGCCTTTAAATTCCTGAGTGATTACTCGCTCCATGGCGGGTCTGAGAGCTTTAACAAATATTGCGTTATTAATGTCCGACATTTACTGATCATTTAACATTAAAGATGACTACTGCTAAGGTTTTTGAAACGTCAGTCAACATCAACAGCAACAGTCCTTCACAGGACTCTACTAACCTCGACAAAAACGTAACGATACTTCCTGATGCAAATATTCACTTTATACAGCACTTTTTAATAACATTGAAGTATTTGTTTTCCTGTAGTTCATCCTTCTACCGTCGTGATAAAAGAAGGCAATGGAGATATTCGTACTTATGTATTATTGTATTATTTTATCTTTCTCTTAGGTCTGGTCACACTCTAAAGGTGTTTCTGCAATAGGATTCTTTCCGAAATCTGCTCATCTTCTTCTGTCGTGTAGCATGGATTGTAAAATTAAGGTAAAAAGTCATTTTCTCTGTCTTACTTGTCGTTGTTCATTTTGAGTTTGGTTGTACATCGTTGAATGTTCCTCCAACTTTACTGGAGGTGAGAATTTTTACTAAATTACCATTACGACAAGCAATACATTTGAAACAATAAATTTCCTTTCAGAAACTGCAAGATGATATTCATCTAAGCGCAACGGCTCTGTTTTTGTAAAATCTAACATAAGACGAGGAAATTTACCCAGGTAATGTGGGATATTTCACATTCATTTGGTTTGGTTACAGGTCACATTTTTATTGATTCAAAACATTATTGAAAAAATAACATTTGCATTTTGTAGTATATTTTGCAATTTTTTTTTGTCATTCGATGTACATAGCGTTCCTTCTTTGTCATTTGATATACATAGCGTTCCTTCTTTGTCATTTGATATACATAGCGTTCCTTCTTTGTCATTCGATGTACATAGCGTTCCTTATTTGTTATTCGATGTACATAGCGTTCCTTCTTTGTCATTCGATGTACATAGCGTTCCTTTTTGTCATTCGATGTACATAGCGTTCCTTCTTTGTCATTCGATGTACATAGCGCTCCTTCTTTGTCATTCAATGTACATAGCGTTCCTTCTTTGTCACTCGTTGTACATAGCGTTCCTTCTTTGTCATTCGATGTACATAGCGTTCCTTTTTAAGTCTTTACTGTCCTAAATGGGTCTTGATATCTTTGGCTGTTATATGTTCAAAAAGTTTGATTTATTTTAGAATGTTGGAGGTGATATTAGACACACGTATTATGGTAAAGAAAGCTATGAAAGATTGTAAAGATGGTAAAGTAAGTTGGTTTTATTAAATCTTTGTTTTTGAAGCGAACTTTGATGTTTTTATAAGATCCAGTAGCTAAAACGTCATGTAGTTTTCATCATGTTCAAAAAAGATGCCTTTCCACTCTTCGTTTGTTTTCTTTAATCATTAATTATGGAAATATTTAATATTAGAAATAATGAGCAAACTAATATTATAAATACTTATATAAATTATTATTTAATAATTTACTAATTTATTCTCATCATCTGTGATCCAGTGGTTCAAATCTATCAAACACAAAAAAAACGTCACCTTCATATCCTTCGACATCGTAGACTTTTATCCATCCATTAATCAAGACCTACTTAACAAAGCACTGGATTTTGCCTCAACCTACGACAACATCACAAACGCCGAAAAACATCATTATACACGCTAAGAATTCATTCCTTATACACAACCAACAACCCTGGCAAAAGAAATATAACTTAACATTCGACGTCACAATGGGTAGCTTCGACGGAGCTGAGACATGCGAACTCGTAGGAAGCTAACTCCTTTCTCAACTACAAAACATCACAACAGACATAGGACTTTATCGAGACGACGGACTTGCCATTTCAAACACCACACCTCGAGAAACAGAGAATATTAAAAAGAAAATATGCCGGATATTCAACAACAATGGACTACGCATAACTATTGAAGCAAACAAAAATCATCGACTTCCTTGACATCACCTTCAATCTTAACAATTTTTCATATCGCCCTTACACAAAACCCAACACTTCTCTGCAATACGTCCACAGCGAAAGCAACCATCCACCATCCATAACGAAGAACATACCCGACGCCATCAACAAACGTCTATCTTCACT